CTCGCCCCGATCGTACCAGCAGCAGGAAGGTGAAGCGGTGGTGATTCGCGACGTGGCTTCGACTTCCGTTTCCCCTAGCGGAGGCCACCTGCAGTCGCCGTCGAGTTCCATGACCGGAGCCATCCCTTCATCTGTTCCGACGGTCCCACAGCCTGTGGTAAACCTCCCTGTCACTGACTTGTCGCCTCACTCGATCTTTGCTCAGAACTTCTCCCTGTCCCCATCAACAAATTCCCTCCACAGCTCTGGCAACCTTTCACCCTCTCCCCAAAGCTTCCCAACATTTACCCAGAATCCTGGGAACTTCCCCTCCCCATCCCAAGGATTTGGTGTGGCGAGAAATTTGTTCGGGTTCATCCACTCTCCACCGCCGACACAAATTCTCAACTTCAACCCTAGCTGCCCTTTTCCTCCCCCGGGCTTTGGGTTCACTAACCTAAGCCCATTACCAACCCAAGCCCAGAACTTATTTACTTTCAATCACAACTACTTCCCCAGCCCAAGTCAGGCCCAGACTGCTGTTAACTTGAACCCAAATAGGCAAGGCAGGCAAACAGCCAACATCAGCCCACGGATCCAGAAGAAGAAGAGGAAGACTTCTGGTCGCCATTTCACTGGCCAGGGGAATGAACAGACTGCTGTTCAATTTGAAACTGGGGAAAATAATGCCAATGATGATGCTGCCTTCCCGCCGGGTTTTGAACCCGATCTTGCTGTGGTTTTGGTGGCCGATTCCAAGCCACCAGGGGTCCCATGAATGCTATTGTGTGGAATTGTAGGGGTTTCGGGCAGACCCCCACAGTTCGGCAACTAAGGAAGTTGGTAAAGAAACACCATCCGACTATCCTTTTTCTGTCCGAGACTAAGAAGTAAGAATCATATATGCAGTCTAAAAGAAGAAGTTTGAGGTTTGCTGAGGAATTCTATGTCAATCCGATTGGGATTGCTGGTGGTTTAGCTCTTTGGTGGGTGTCGGGCTTACCCATCACAATCCTTGATAGTAGTTGTTATTTTATCGATGTTTTTGTTGATGTTAATGTGGTTTTTTTTATCATGTTTGTTCATGCCCCGTCTGATCCGGCTCGAAGGAGGGACTTTTGGGATCAAATTAGTAACCTGAGGTCTAATGTTGATGATAAATGGGTGGTTATTGGGGATATGAATGCTGTGTTGTTTGCTGAAGAGAAGAAGGGTGGGAATGAGCCTAGAAATATTTCTACTTTGCCCTTTAAATCTTTTGTTGCTGAGAACGGTTTAATCGATTTGGGGTTTAAGGGCTATCCCTTTACGTGGAAAAACAACCAAGAAGGGATGCGTCGTATTGAGGAGAGGCCCGATCGAGGACTTTGCTCTACCTCGTGGTTCTCCATGTTCAATAATGCTATGATCTTTCATGAGTTGCCAATTGAGTCTGACCATTGTCCATTGAGATTGGAATTTGAAGGGAATCGATGTAAGTCAAGGGCTCCATTTCGATTCGATACTAGATGGCTTCAAAAGGAGGAGTGTGTTGATATTATTAACCGGAATTGGGAAGGTGGGGGCTTTTGCCATGAAAGACTGCAGAAATGCGAGAAGGATTTGACTCGATGGGCTCGACAGATGTTTAAAGATCAGAATAAAAGGGCTGAGGAAATCCAGGCGAGGTTGGGGGATATTCTTCTACTTGATCGGTCAGTGGAAGTCATTGACGAAGAAAGAAGCCTCATGGATGAGCTTGCTGCAATCTGGAAGGATGATGAATTGTTGTGGAGCCAACGGTCCCTAGTTGATTGGCTTAGTGTGGGAGACCAGAACAATAAATTCTTTCACGCTTGCTTCTACTTCTCTCCGAAAGCTTCGAAACAAAAATTTTTCTCTCAAGGATGATAACGGGAATTCGATTACCCAACCTGAAGATCTCTCGAATCATGTTTTGGGTTTCTATCAAGCGTTGTTCACTAAGAAAGAAGGCCTTAATGATGATGCCCTACATGATTTCCCTAGGCTGGTTTCAAATGAAATGAACATGGATTTAGACAAAGATCCAACTGTTGAGGAGATTCGAGCTGCGGTGTTTGACCTTGGTCCTACGAAATCACCAGGGCCTGACGGGTTTGCTGGGTCGTTTTACAGTAAGTTCTGGAGCAAAATTGGACCAGACTTCTGTAGTGAAGTGATTGATTTCTTCAGATCCTCGATTATGCCACAGGGGTGGAATGATACTCATATTGCCCTCATCCCTAAGGTTCTTGCTCCGGAGACGATCTCTCAGTTTCGCCCTATTAGTTGCTGCAATTTCAGATACAAGATCATTTCTAAGATTCTGGCGAGTCGAATGAAGAAGTGGCTGCCGGGTTTAGTTTCTGAGATGCAGGCAGCTTTTACAGGTGAGAGACTTATCCAGGACAATGTCATTATTGTTCATGAGATGCTGCATAATTTCAAAAATCGTCGATCCGGTGACTGGGATATGATGGTGAAGCTGGATATGAGAAAAGCTTACGACTTAGTGGATTGGGCAAGAAAGAATGTATTAAATCAAGGAATAACTCCTTTTTAATATACTAAATCACCAAGAAAGAATGTGACCTTTTGTTTTTTTCAGTCATCCATTCATCCAACCAAGAAATGAGTTTAGTTCGAGTACATATGATACTTATTAATTTGAGTTCTTTGCTTGAAGTGTTTGTTACAGTGTCAACTGTCAAAGAAAATTTTAGACGCTCACGATATTTAACTTAAATATCTATATATGCGTAAAAGTGAAAATTAATGATAAACCATGTACAACTTATGAAGTGGAAAAGTGTTGGTCAGTCGCATATCATATGATCGCGAATATGACCTTCCAACTTATTATGAAGTTCCGACTCTCATTGTGTAACAATATTGTTGATCTCGACCAAACTCACACTAAATATGGACGTATGAAACATAGATTATAAAAGGTCATAATAAATATTAAAAAAAACAAAACATGCAGCAGCACAATACTGTAGTGAAAAAATGAGCACAAAATTAGTACTTAAACAAGTATCATTTATGCTAACAATCATTTCATTGACAAAAATAAAATCATTGCTATTCCTAGACACCACTATTCTAGGTTAGAATATATTCTATCTGTGCTTAGAATGCAATTACACCGTTAGGATTCGATCGAATAATTGATTTGGTACGATGTGATCCGATATGGATCAAACCGTTACATTGCGGCCAAATCTTCCAAGTATGCCCTCAGTGTTCCACATCACATATTCATATTCTACATTTTGGAGTGTTGCACTTGCAGGGCACCATGTTGCATCGGACCCAGAATATTTACTCTAGCCAAAAATTGCGAGACCACATATTTAGGGAAGATTAGCTGATAAGGGACCCAAGTGACAGAGAAATGAACAAAATTCGTGAAATTTCCCATCATATTAAATGCCTCTAGATTTTTTTATAGCAATCACTGTTAAGTTTGTTAAAATGCTATCAATATCAAGGTTGTTAAACCTAGTGGCAGAGCCACGTTGTAGTTAGGGTTTAGCCTTTCTCGTTGGTTCAAATCCTTTGAACGTAGATTCAGTGGCGGACTCAGAAAACCTTCTAAGGGTGTTCAAGAATATAACACAAATTTAATCTATATTATGCACATGTCATCTTTTTCATCACAAATTGAATCATATGTGTTCTCATAATTTGAAAATTTTCAAATATATATTCATTGTTTATGTTATAATTCGCAATGCAGTCAAAAATTGTGATTCAACATAGAAGCATTTTGGTGACCTAGAGCGTAGTTTTGACTAAACTTGTAAATGAAAAGAGTGACCTAGAAGTGTAAAAACGTAAGATTTTAAAAGTTTTAAACCGTGATTTTAACTACATTATTACTCATATGTCTTTCAATAAATACCGTTAATAACTCACTTAAATATGATATCTCATCTTATGACAATTGAGATTTTTTTTTTATAATCATATGACAATTGAGATGAAATAGAGTTGTTAAGAGAGTTTTTCCATAATAATATTTTTTAACAAAATGAATTGAATTTGAATAAAATAATAGATTTGTAATTAATTCATGTTCTCAAAATAATAGACATTAGTTTGTAGTTAAAAAGAAAGACTCAATTATAAATTTTGAGGGTTGTCAAATGACATTGATTTCAATTCTAACATCACCACTATAAATATTTACACTACTTTTTAACCCCAAATCTAGAGCTAAGGTTTGTCAAGTGAATAACCTTGGCATAACATGGGTCCGCCCCTGCGTAGATTTTTAACCCCTCCTCATTCAAAATTTTGCTTCGTCACTGGTTAAACCTCTACCAATCGGTCAGTTGGACCAGATCCGATCAAAGTCGGACTCCAAAACAGTCTCTAGAAAGTCATTGACATGACCACTGGAAAGAGTGAGGGACAGAGACGGAGAGGAGCGGAGGAAGATTATGGATGCGTCATACGCCGGTTAGGTAGGATTTTTTTTACGAAAAGTGAGTTTCTCATAGATACATGTAAGGTAAAAGTCATTTCTTTCATTAAAATTTTAAATTACTACCTTATTTATATATAATATTTAGAAATGGTATAAAATGGCTCAAACAGATTGAACCCCAATCAAACCATTAAGTCTCAAACAACTTTTTTTACCGACTTTTAATGACTTAAACTGATCTGATAACCTCTATGTCAGACTGATATTGCTGTGACCACCCTAGTCGAGTTGTTATCATTTTATTTTATTTTATTTTATTTTATTTCAAGGAGTGAGAAGAAGTAGCAGCTACAAATAGCTTTCCATCGCATTGAATTTGGTTTCCCAAATAAGTGTGTACAAAACCTGAAACAGATATCACCACTGCCCCCAGGCTAATCGGATCCCACAAAGCTTTCACTTTCTTTCACTCTGTTAGCCACCCTCCAACCACCTAACCCCGGCGCTACTGTAAAAAACAGAAGAAAAATCACAGTAAAAATTTCCCCTTCTAATCATTTCGTTTTCTTCCTTAAACGTCAAATTGCTTTCCGCCAAAGGAAAGAAAGTGACAACCGGAAACTGGATGTCATTTTGTGTCTGTTTCCAAGCTCTTCAAGAGTTCAAATACGAAACGAACTCTCTCCTTCTTCTTCTTCCTGCCCATAATCACCCGCCGCCGCCGTAGCTGACGACTCTGGAGAGATAACCCAGAAAAAAGGTTTCTTCTTTTCTTTATTTGTCCGTAATGGAGGCGCCGCTGCTCCAATCCCGCGGTACAAATCACGGCCGGAAAGAAGGAAATGATGACGACAACAAGGAATTCGATTCGTCCGTTCTCGGGGACTTCGGAAACGAGTCTCGTACGCTATGGAAGATCGCCGGCCCGGCCATCTTCACCTCCATTTCTCAGTACTCCCTCGGCGCCCTCACGCAGACGTTCACCGGCTTCGTCGGCGAGCTCGAGCTCGCCGCCGTCTCCGTCGAGAATTCCGTCGTCGCGGGGCTCGCCTTTGGCGTCATGGTCAGCCCCACACCCTCTGTTTCTCCTCTGTTTTTCTTACACTTCGAGTAATGTTGATTTCAAGATTCGAACTTTACGTCACCGACTCTGTTTTTTTCGGGAAGGGATTGATTTCTTGATCACGTATTCAATTTTTGATTTTTGTGCTTTTCTGTGAAGCTGGGAATGGGGAGCGCATTGGAGACGCTATGTGGGCAAGCCTACGGAGCAGGGCAGATCAGGATGCTGGGGATTTACATGCAGCGATCATGGGTTATTCTTTTGACCACCGCTTGTTTGCTGGTTCCTGTTTACATTTGGTCTCCTCCAATCCTTACATTCTTCGGAGAGACCTCTGAGATATCCAATGCCGCAGGTGAGTTCAATTTCGATCTCGAGTACAAAACATCGAATTATGAATTGAATCGAGCAGTGCGAATTAATCCGCGAAGTTTTGATTCTGATTTTCAGTACGAATACGAACCGTAGAGGCATGGTCTGTTCATCCCTAGCCAAATGAAGGCTGCCAACCCTTTTAGTCACACAGAAAAATAGTGGTGAATTTATTTCTTTCCTTCTCTTTTGTTTGGGGGATTGGCAGGGGAATTCGCGATATGGATGCTGCCGCAGTTATTCGCTTACGCATTGAACTTCCCGATCCAGAAGTTCCTGCAGGCGCAGAGCAAAGTGATGGTGATGGCCTGGATCTCCGCGGTAGTTCTAGTCCTGCACACCTTCTTCAGCTGGCTGCTGATTCTGAAGCTCGGCTGGGGACTGGTGGGTGCCGCGCTGGTGCTCAATGCTTCCTGGTGCATCATAGTCGTAGCACAATTGGGCTACATTTTCATCACTGGGTCCGACGGAGCCTGGAATGGCTTCTCGTGGCTCGCGTTTTCGGACCTCTGGGGTTTCGTCAAGCTCTCTCTAGCCTCTGCAGTCATGCTATGGTAACGATTTTTTTCATAGTTTCAATTTTGAGCTAATGTGAGAAAAGAACCTAAATTTTTCTTCATTTGTTCTGTTTGTGGTTGTAGCTTGGAGTTTTGGTACTTGATGGTCTTGGTTGTTATAACGGGCAGATTGCCGAACCCTCTGATCCCTGTGGATGCCATCTCAATTTGGTATTCTTCCCTTTTTTCATCAATCCTGTTCACAATCCTGAAAATCCAGTGTCTTATCTCACTTTGATTGATATTGGTTTCCTTTCAGCATGAACCTGAACGGATGGGACGCCATGATTGCGATCGGATTCAATGCCGCGATTAGGTACACAGTTTTTCACTAACAAATTGTCACACATCGATATCGAACCTAAAAATGTAACGAATGTCGTTTCCCATTCGACAGCGTCAGGGTGTCGAACGAGCTGGGAGCAGGGAACGCTCGAGCAGCGAAAGTGTCGGTCGTGGTAGTATCAGCTACGTCGGTCGCGATAGGGGTGGTATGTATGATCGTGGTATTCGCGACGAGAGGTTCGTTCCCCGAGCTGTTCACCAGCAGCGCAGCGGTTGCTCAGGAGACGAGGAGGCTTGCTGGGTTGCTGGCGTTCACTGTGCTGCTCAACAGCCTTCAGCCTGTTTTATCTGGTAAAAAATTTGGTAGTAGTAAGGACTAATATACTTTTTTTTGCATGCAAAGTTGCAAACAACAACAATTCTTTTGTTTTGTAGCTTGTACCGACTTCAGATTCGATTATTCCTACCGAAAGATGCCAAAACCTTTTGTCTTGACATGTATGGAGGGGGATCCTTGGGTGGGTCCCACTGTTGGATCTTGCATTTGACTGATTGTCTCTCTTTCTTTTGTCGCGTAGGTGTCGCTATTGGAGCTGGATGGCAATCTCTGGTGGCTTACATCAATATTGGATGTTATTACATAGTTGGGTTGCCTGCTGGGATTCTTCTGGGTTTCACGTTTGGTTTTGGAGTTGAGGTAAACAGATTTTCTCCTCCTTTCAGAGAGACAGATATGTAATCTGACTTGATATGTCGAGAGTGATAGCGTAAGTTGATATCGCGTCAGATTGCGTTTAACGATCATGCACTCCAAAACAACGTTACTTCGTGCTAAAACACGGTACAATCTTATTACACACTCTCAAGTCTCAACATTCGAGAGTCGTTTTCTTATCTGCGTGCAGGGGATATGGACAGGAATGATTGCAGGAATAGTTTTGCAGACCATAATTCTGGTGGTGATCACTGCAATAACTGATTGGGAATCTGAGGTGAGTTTAATTCAATCGATTGATTTATCATTGTAAATTGGAATCTGGTGGGGTTTTCTTTTTGTTTTTTTCTTTGAGGACAACTTGGATTTGAAGTCCATCAACTTGCTTTTTGATTTGATGTTTATTGGCCTTTTTTTTCTTCCCAGGCTGCATTAGCTGAGGGTCGGGTTAAGAAATGGGGAGGATCATCAGGAAGTCACTAGGAAGACGTTGAAAATTTGTTGCTTTCTGGTGTTTCTTCCTTCTTTCACCCCTTGTTATTGTTATCTGTAAATGAGCAAGTGTATAACTCATGGGCAAGCAACCGCATTAATCCTCTCAGTTCCATCCATTTTTGAACATAGGCATACAGAAAAAAGGGAAAAGAGGGATGTTGTTCTTGAAGAAACGATTCATGAATGATAATAACAATGATGGGTTAAATGTTCAGATAAACTCATGTTGTAAGGGGATTGAAAAGAGATAAAAGATAATAAACTGAAAAAAAATCGTCGAAGAATGAGGGTGGCCATCTATTGACATACACTTATGAGTTATTTGGAACTAGAAAGTGTCCGTAGGATTTTATTGGGGTTACTATCCTCTTTATATTATTTTTTGGCGTCGCCGAGAATAAAGTAAATATATTACAGTAATAAATCACGTGCTGTAAATATTTTTTAGTATGGACGAGGAATCACATAAATCCATTTTAGTATCATATAATGGAATAACTAAGCCAACATTTTTAGACCAATTTATTTACATCGTGACTACTCTCAAAATAACAAGTAGGAGTTGTAAATAAATTACCCAAAGAATTTACGTAGTATACACTTGATTTTAAGGATAATTCAAAGAGCAATAGTTCACGAGTAATCCTTCACCATAACAAGTAACGACCATAGATTATAGAGAGACTCAAGATACAAACGAAGAAGAAAAAAAACATCACATTTTACTATTTTCACTCAAAAAAAATATCTCTTTATGCAATTCAAAATGAAGTCCCAATGTAAAATGATGGAGATCGTTCTCCTGTGATGGTACAAATTTTAGGAGACCAATTAAATTGAGATGGTTGGGGAATTAATCACCCTTCATCATCCAACTGTCGTCTTCCACACTAATTGTTTTCTTAAATTTCTACCAAAAAAAAAAATTGTTTTCTTAAATTCAATTGATAGCTCTTTCTGCCAGCCGCCAGGTGAGCGGCCCAATTTTCTCCCACCCAACTTACATGGTCATCTTTGTCATTCATTTGCTAATCAACAAAACTCAAAACTCATTTTCACTGCCACATAACAATTGCATCAGTTCTTGTTGGAATCCAAGTTCTCTCAAAAATTTATTCATACATATCTTCGTACACGCTTTTGTTGTGGGAAAAATTCACACTTTTGTAGCAAGAGCCCTATGTGGCTTCTAGTTTACCATCTTTATTAGCAATCTTCACCTGAACTCCGTAGGATTAGAGGATTCTCTAATTCAGACGACTAAGTACTCTTGTAGAATTTTGCAATGATCTACTAGTTATCATTTGAATGATTTGTTTCTACTAACTAGGGAGAACTTAATGTTAATCGTAACGGAGATTATCGTAACCGATGCGTAAACAGAAACGAGACGTGATTTACGTGGTTTCTTTGTTTATAAGATGGTGATTTCCTTGTACGTAGTCGTTTTCATGAGAGTGTTAGGGTGAGAAAGTCTTTTCTCGCATCAGCCCACGTATAACCCTAGTAGTCCATGGAGAATAGGGTATATATTGATCTCTTCGTTGTAATCGGCCGTACATTGAATGAAAGCTTGAGAGAGCTAATCTTCCCCGTGGAGTAAGCCTAATTCACATTGAATGGGACGAACCACGTAAAACTCGTGACTTGCGTTCTTTACTTTCTCGTACAGAAATCTTTCATGGTATCAGAGCGGGTCTTCTAGATCAAAGACTTTGCGATGACTGACGACGAAACTGGCGGTGGTGCTTGACAGCTGATTGATCCCAGCAGTGGCAGCGGCGGAGCGTCTGTTCCACTAGTCATCCAGACAGCATTAAAGATTCAAGCATCGGACAATCCGGGTCAGTTGTTCGTTGGCGAAGTGTTAAACGATTCCAATTATAGCGAATGGGTAACGGATATGACAGAAGGCCTAATCGCTAAAAATAAGTTGAGTATCGTAGATGGATCAATAGTGAAACCGACGGCAGATGGTGAGCTGCGAGAGGCTTGGTTGCAGTGTGATGCTTTCGTGAAAGGATGGCTGAAGACAGCCATGGATAAAGATGTTCGTAGCTCTATTCGGTATGCTAAGACCGCGCGAGAGATCTGGATCGACCTAGAAGCTAGGTTTGGCAAGGGTTCAGCACCTCGTGCTTATGAGCTTCGGCAGATGGTTAGCAATTTGCGGCAAGAAAAGTTGAGTGTCTCTACTTTCTACATAAAATGTGTTCAGTCTGGGAAGAGATGCAAACAACAACTCCCATCCCGTGTTGTATGCGCGGCTGTGTACTTGTGAAGTTGGGAAGAAGGTCATGGATAATCTAGAGAATGAATGCTTGTTTGATTTCCTCATGGGACTTGGGGAGGCTTTTGGGACAGTCAAAACCCAAATATTGGCCATGAAGCCAACTCCTACTTTGGCCGAAGCATACAGGCTTATTGCTACGAAAGAACAGCACAAGCAGATCTCGACAAGCAGGAGACCTCATGTGGAGGCAACTGCACTTCGGGCCCATCGTGGTCGTGACACTAGTGACTCGAGCAGAGGCATCGAGAGAAGCAGAAGCGGTGACCGCAAAGATAAGCCTAGGTGCAGCCACTGTAAAAAACGTGGGCACACTAAGGAATCGTGCTTCGAGTTAATTGGGTACCCAGCTGGATGGCTTGAAAGGCGCCCGCGCCAAGGGGACAGAGAGGAGAGGCAACGCGATTCCCAGCCAGCCAAGCCGTGCGCAGCACAATTGTCGACAGGCGCTGGCGTCACCATTCCGGGATTGAATCCTGAGCAGGTTCAACAACTACTTCAATTCCTGAACCACACCAATGGCTCCACATCGCAAACCTCTGAGTCGCAAGTCCACATGGCGGGTAAGCTTCTTTCTAATTCTGAATGGGCAATTGATTCCGGATGCAACGAATACATCACCAATGATGACACCTTGTTAGAGAACGCAAATGATGCACATTGTTATCAACCTGTTAGTATTCCCAATGGGGATAAAATTGTTGTGCAAAGTGTTGGGGAAGTAGAATTGTCAAAGGGAATGAAGTTTAGCCGTGTTCTATGCATCCCGTTGTTTAAGTGCAATCTCCTCTCCGTAAGCAAACTTACTCGAGATTTTGATGTCGCTTTGACGTTCTTACGTGATTTTTGCGTCATCCAGGACTTACGCTCCAAGAGGACGATTGGGGCGGGACAGCTTCGTGATGGACTGTACTATCTTCGGCTATTCGACGGGAGGGAGCCGTGTGCCTTGGTAGCAGGGAGTGATGATGGAATGGGGGAGCTTTGGCACTCTAGGCTGGGTCACCCATCGCCGCAAAAGGCTTCTTTGTTGTTTTCATTTATTCAAACTAAGTGCAAGCTTGAGGCTTGCGATTCTTGTATGCGTGCTAAACATACATGTTTGCCTTTTCCTAAGAGTTCGATAAGGACCAGTCGTTTCTTTGAAATGATCCATGTGGATATTTGGGGAGGTTTCAAAGTCCCTACTCAGAATGCAGCTCGTTTCTTTCTTATGATTGTCGATGACTTCAGTGGAGCTACATGGGTGTATTTGATGAGCTACAAGTAGGATGTGGAGGGATATTTAAAAATGTTCCTAAATATGACTAAGACACAATTCGGCCAGCAGGTAGCTCGAATCCAAGCGGATAACGGTCTAGAATTTCATACCCTTGGGTTGCGCTCGTACTATGAAGATCATGGCATTGTTCTCCAAACATCATGTACAGACACACCCCAACAGAATGGAGTGGTCAAGCGAAAGCATCGACACTTGCTCGAGACTGCTCGCGCCTTACGTTTTCGAGCTAATCTTCCTTTACAGTTTTGGGGAGAATGTGTTTTGACAGCAACTTACTTGATAAATCATCTACCTTCGAAGGTTCTACAGAATCGGACACCTTATGAAATTCTGCTCAAGAAAGTTCCATCGTACAAGCATTTACGGGTTTTGGGTGTTTAGCCTACGAGAAAGATACACACAAGAACATTTCGAAGTTTGGGGAACGCAGCCGACGTTCTGTTTTTATGGGATATCCTGCATTTCAGAAAGGGTATCGGCTGTATGATCTCACTACACGTACCTTTTACACGTCCCGGGACGTGCGCTTTGTTGAGGATTGCTTCCCGTTTCATGAGCAGCCCCGTGCTCCTATGCCAGGTACCATTTCTCTTTATCCACGTAATGTCACAGTGGCGGAGGAGCACTTGGTGGACACAACTCTCTCGTCAGACTCTACTGCCGAGAAACAAGATGCATTGGTGGAGGAAAGGGCCTCTTCGAGCTCGTCTGGGGAGCATGACGAGTCCTCATCCCAACCGGCCTTGGTGGAGGAACCCACTCATGGTTTGCGCCGTAGCTTGCGAGATCGGCGAGTTCCCAAATCTTTTGAACATTTTGAAGTGGAACTACCTCCATCTAATGTGCCTTACCCTATGTCTAATTATGTGCGCTATGAAGCCTTTTCAGCAGGCCATAGGAGTTTCTTGGCAGTCATGTCAAGTCACACAGAACCGACGTAATTTTGCGACGTTATACAGTACCAGGAATGGCGAGTCGCCATGCAACGTGAGATCGATGCGCTGGTCGCAAATGGAACGTGGTCTCTCGTGGATTTGCCTCCCGGTAAGAAGGTTATCTCTTGTAAATGGGTTTACAAGATTAAGTACAAACAGGATGGCATCATTGAGCGCTTCAAGCCCCGTCTGGTGGCCAAGGGTTTTACTCAGACCGAGGGTATAGATTATCATGATACCTTCGCTCATGTGGCTAAGTTGGTCAGTAATCGGTGCCTCCTTGCTGTTGCTGCTGTTCGGGAATGGGTTGTACATCAACTAGATGTGGACAACGCTTTCTTACACGGTGACCTCGAGGAAGAGGTCTATATGCAGATTCCTCCAGGCTTTGTAGCGCCTGGTGATTCCCGGGTTTGTCGCCTACACAAATCCATTTATGGATTAAAGCAAGATTCTCGCAACTGGTATGCGAAGTTCACATCGACTCTTACAGGTCTTGGTTTTCAACGTTCTCGTGCGGACTACTCTTTATTTGTTCGTCGTCGACAGGGTTCATATGTTGTTGCGCTTATTTATGTTAATGATGTCATCCTGGCGGATGACGATATGGACTTCATTCAGCAGGTTAAGGACAGGCTTCACAGCGAGTTTGGCATAAAAAATCTTGGGCCTCTGAAGTACTTTTTGACCGCTCGGTCCCATGATGGTATTATGCTTTGCCAGCGAAAGTGCACACTTGATCTCTTACAGGACAGTGGACTCTCTTGTGGGAGTCCTAGCATCTTTCCCATTGAAC